AAAATTGTAGGAACATAATATCATGTACTGCAGTGTGGACCTGTAATTTTGTATTTTGTAATTGAAATGTAAATAATTTATTAAAAGAAAAAGTTGTCTCTCAGGAAAGTTACAACTAAAATCAAAACAAATTTCTCTAGGGCTCTATTTACAATGCCAGAAGAATTGCATAAGCACAATTCCTGACTTTCATGAATGTAACCAGGGTGGTTATGCCCCAGAACTGAATAATAATTAAAAGTTAGATATTGGCAGCTTCAGGCTTGCTTTTCCCCAGGAGCCTAAGGGATAAGCTTTAGAAGGCAAACTTCACAGCAGCCACTTCATTACAGAAAGAACATGCATCTGATCCCCAGAAAAGCACTCAAAACTAACATCTCTGTGGCGATGCAAGGATGGCCCACATGAAGAGGATACAATTTCATGTGTCAACCATAAGGATTCCCAACATGAGTTTACAAAATAGGCTTCATTTGGGACACTTTCATCCATCCTTCTCACTACGCCTGTACAGCAAAGGTGTTCTACTCTCCTAATACCCCTATGTGACCTTAACAAAAACTGCATGTGAGGCAAAGGAAGAAGTTCTGGGAGCAGTTTCTAGGCAGAAGACAATGCTTTGATGGCATCCCAGTTGGATGGGGCTGATGTGGGCACACAGCTGGATCCAGTTCCTCCTGGCTTCAGCAGCCTCTGCTTCTGCCCAGAGCTGGGGATCCAGGTTATTTGTCACCCCAACAGCAAAGCCCTTCTACCAAACATGTGGCATCACCTCCGCTTAACAGCTCACAAACCACGAAGTTTGCCATCATTTTCATTTCCATCATTTGCATTTCCCATTTTTCCCTGCAACCATGAGGGTTAGAAATATTTTTAAAAATGGAATTTGAGAAGTGCAAGTCAACATGCCTCTAGCTGTTGAGGCTTTCATACTTGTAGTATCTTAGTAACAGCCGTACTCACAAATATCAAAAGTAATGATACTCTGCAATACACTAAGGAGTCCTCTGGAGATGAAAGGCTCAGGACCTGATGATTTTTTGTTCATGAGCCACAGCATGTCAAAGAGCAAAGTAAGCCTGGCAGGGATTGACGGAGATTAAAAGTACACACAGACACGTACACACACAAAAATCACTATGGAAAATGTGCTCCCTAACTCTGCACGAGTGAACCCAACAGCTCAGGCACCTCGCTAAGCTCCAGTGGGAAGAGGGAAGGGACGTTCCTGAGTGTCCTCTCTCTGTAAGCCTGGGCCGAGGTGAGAGGTGTGCTTGGCTCCCGGGGCCAGGCGAGCAGACGGAAACATTCCCGGTTGTGTCCCAAAGCAAACAGCAATAAAACAAACTGCTAATGAGGATGCAACCTGACCCTCTGCAGAGCGCCTGCCCAAGGACCGCGGGCTGCAAGGGGAAGGGAAGGACTGTGCCGGCAGAAACTCCAAGCTCAAGGGGATTTTTTAAAAGAGCAACCAAAAAAAAAAGTTTGGGTACTTTGCTGGTAATAAAAGTTACTCTCGAAGTAACCCAGAGCAAACACTGCTTTGAAGGAAAGAGAAGTCTGTTAAACAAAGAACTTTACTCTGCAGAAAGAATTCCTTTTTAACACTAATGTTGACATTTCATTTTTTGTAAGAAATGCCAGTGAATCTTCCCTTAAGACTCTTTACTCCAAACAGGACACTTCTCTTTTTTTCCCTCTCTGATATACTCTCCTTTCCAGGAAAGACACAAATTTTTATTCACACTTTCTGCTTCTCTTCATTGGGCTGTTTATCACAGTTACACAAACCATTCTCAGCTAATACAGCCTAGGGACAAACATCTGGATTTTAGTAATTTACAGCAGGAGACCGGCAGCTCCAGGAGACCGAAGAACCCATGAGCAAACTACCCATGACAGCATTCACAACTTAGTATCTGTGTTTTTTGGGGTTTTTTTATTAACAAAAAAACAATCCAGAAGCCACTGTTAAGGGAGAAAAAGGAATGTATTTAATGTAGTGAAAGGCAACCTGTCATTCTGACACATTCTTGGTTTTCTGGAAGTCAAGTTAACAGTCATAGTTGGCAAGAAAGATGTGATGGCATAAAGCACTTGGTTTGTGGAAGGACATCAGAGGTAGTGGTTTTGATTAGAAGTGCAATGATAAACCTGGACAGTGCCCTGCTAAGAAACTGTCACAGGCAAGAGTAATCCAAGGTGTAAGAAATTTGGGAACTGATGAACTAGGGACAGGACTGTAGAAATGTAAATTATACTAGAATAATGCTAATCAAACTCAAAAGATTCTGCAAGCAGTTACACATGGACTTAAATATTGGAAATATCTCATTGAAGGTAACAGGCATGAATACAGTCCATAAACACTTTGGAATTATGGATGTCTGTTTTCCCAAGTTTCTGGACACATACCACTGCTGGTATTTCTGCTTTAAACAGGATCACACACACAGGGATGTCAAGGAACACACAACTAAGTAGTTGGGGCAGTTTACTGAGCAAACACACCATGTCCTTTGGGACCCAGTGGGAAAGGAGCTCTCCTGGCCCCTGAGCTGTATCATCTCCTAATCTTTGCTGTGAACTCAGGGCACCTTCAGCCAGGCTGTGTCACTGTGCCAGTCAGCCACAAAAGCAGTGAAAGGGAACAGGAAAGCAGGAGTGGGTCTCACCCATACAAAAGTAAGCTGTTCCCCTTTGTTATTATCCTCTGAATAAATGGTAGCTGAGAGAAATTTCCTTTTTGGGATTGTTCCTGCACTAGCAAATGCAAAACCACTTGCTGCAGAGGGTATCTAAGCCTTAATAAAGAACTGTAATGAAATTCAGGTCCAGGTGCTGAACGATTAGTCCCTCTATCAGAACATATTTTTCCTATTTATTTTCTTGCTCAGATTTCACTTGTAAAACAGGAACATTAAGGCAACTCCTCAATCTCAGCCTGTTAAAACTTCAATTCAGCTGGCATTCTCACAAAGAAGATTTTCCAACAAAGGAACTGACAGCTTTCCATTGCAACTGCAACACCAGAGCATCCCAAAATGCATTTTCCTGTGACACTGTGCTCAACTGCTCCAGGTACATTAACGGGATCAGGTCTGTGACACATCACAACCCCAAAAGCTTCCCACCTCAGCCTAGGAATGGAATAAGCAATCCATCACACAGTGTGACACGTTCCCCAAAACACACACACACTCAAAACCTGAGAGTGGTGTCAGACTGTTTATTGAAGAGGGCAATCTGACTGGCTGAACCGACCTGGGTAGCCGGTAACTTTTAACATAAGCAAACAGAGATACTGTAAACCTGCTGTGCATGGAAACTGTGTTTATACTTAAATTGGACTTGGAAGACTGAAATAACTTACTAGAAAAATATAGCTTAAGTTCCCAGGAGCTCTGAATGACCTTGAGATCATTCTGAAAAAAACAGAAATATGTAGACATATACAGTGATGCAAACAGAGTTACACAAATATTTTTGAAGTCAGCTAATAAAATACATTTCCTTGCCTATTTTTTATGATAGCTTTGCAAACATACTTTTAAAACCACACTATTCAGCCCCACCAAGCATTTTTTTTGCCACTTGCGTTATCAGAACTGATGGCAAGCATTCTGCAATGTAAGTGCTGCCTCATTTACTTCTTAGTGAGTTTTGTAATTGCTGGATCTGTTCCTTTTAGATAGACTGCTGAAATTCTTACTACCACATGACAAGACAATAAACTTTCTTAGTGATGCAGTGGAAGTACAGAGGAAGACAAAAATAGAAAAAAAGATACAAGAAACTTCATATTTTTCTCAGTGTGGCCAACACATTGACAAAATATTTTTATTTATATGGCACTTAAATTGCTGTACACAGGCACATCTGCATGGAAAGTGATCACAAATCAGAGAGATAACAACCACCAAAAATTGTGAGCTTTGTTGCTCATGAACCTGGAAAAAAATTGTTAGGAGTATTAAAGCACCCAGAGTAATGTAACCTAATGTTGCATAACTGTGATCAAATGCCTACAAAAACTAGGAAATTGCTAAATCTACAAGTGTTTTGCTTAAAAAATAATGACATAAAAGTAGAGGGGATAACTGTTTTATAACTTGAAAACAGCCAGGGGAGTCTAACCGAACTGCTTTTATTCTTCTGCCATGGGCTGGTGCATGGCCAGTACTGGAAGCTGACTGAAAAGGAAAACTGGAGATGCATCAAGTGATGGTTTGCAGGTTATCCACGAATCTGCATTTGTACCTGAATTTTCCACACCACTCATACAATCTCCATTTGGCAGGAAAGCAGCACACAAGCAGGCAGGCAGAAGGGACTGTGCTTTTCACAGCAAGGTGCTCATCCTGCAAAGCCGATGGTGTCCAGGAATGGGATAACCTGGGAGCACCTAGATCGCATCAAGGCTTTGGAGGAGGGGCGCGGGTTTCAGTTCAATGCCGGCATACTCTATAAATTTTGGTGTAAAATGTGGGAATAACTGACCCTCTGAGAACATCCGCCAAGCTCCAGAGAAAACAGGATGGTGAATAGGTGTATCTGGAGAATAATTCTACTCTGTGACCGGAGCTTGTAGTGAGGTGGGTGGGGGCCGGTCTCTTCTTCCGTGCCTGCAGTGAGAGAAAAAGAATAAATGGCCTTATGCTAAGAGAGGAGAGATGCAGAATAGACAGTAGAAACCTTTTTTCACTGTTATAATGGTCAGACATTGCAACAGGCTACCCAGGGAGATGGTGAAGTCACCAGTTCAAGAGGTGTCTGGATTTGGCACTGAGCTACGTGATTTAGTGAGGGTTACAGAGGCAGTGCTAGGCGGACGCTTGAACCGGATGATCTTAAAGATGTCTTCCAACCGCGGTGATTCTGTGAATAAAGGCGGCGAGGCTCCTATGTCCCGGTTTGCGGGGGTGAAATTCAGCATTCCGTGATTCCGGCTCCCTCTGAGGGCAGAGGCCGCAGAGCGCCGCGGCCGCGTCCGTCAGCTCCGGTGCCGCTCCCGGCCCGTCCGCCGGCGGCTGCGCGCGCCTCTCCCCTTCCTCCTCCTCCTCCTCCTCCCGCCGCTGCCGCTGCCCCCGCGGCAGGGATGGAGGCCATCGAGGAGCTGGCGGTCCAGCCCTGCACCTCCTCCCTCTACCTGCGGCCTTTCCGCCTCTCTTACCGGCAGGTGAGTGGCGCCGCCAGCCCGCCCGCCGTGCCCCGACCCGGCAGGGCCCCTCAGCCCCCGCCTGCGCCATTTTGGAGCAGCGCCGCTGCCGCCTCATGGCACCCCCGGGGCGGCCGCGCTGTCCCCGGCGCTCCCTCGGCCCGCCCTGAGGTGGGGTTCCAGGAGGACAGACCGTGGGGTCACTGCCTTGGGGTGGCAGCGGTTCCTGCGTCCCCATGGGTGTCCCCTGTGCCCTCCGCCCGCGCGGGGCTGTCACTTTCACTGTCACTTTCACTGTCACTTTCACCCCGTGCTGGTGTTCGGGTTCACCTCTCTAGAGACATTCCAAACCCAGCTGGACTCATTCCTGTGTCACCTGCTCCAGGTGACCCTGCCATGAGAGGGGGTTTGGACCGGGTGATCTCCAGAGGTCCCTTTCCACCCTGACTATTCTGTGATTCCGTGAATAACCTCAATGCCCGCAGGTGGGAAGTGGGGAAGGAAATCCTGTCCCCTGTCATGTTTGTATCAACATGAGTCACCTTTCACAGGATCACTGAGAGCTGGTGCTTCCGACAGCGGCAGGAATGGGAACTTTGAAAAGAAAGTCACTTGTCACAGCACAAAGCATTGCATGGTCCTCGGGTGCTTTCCTTGGGCCTGCTTGGTGGCTGCTCCAGGGTGAGCTTTTACCCAGGCAGAGTGGTGGAAGGGGAAAGGAAGGAGAGTTTGGACAGACCTAAAAATGGATGGTGGAAAACACATCTCTCATTTCTTCTTTGCTTCGCTTTTAAACACATCAGTTGGAAAGGCAGAAGAGGAAACTATTGAGTCCAACAGTGAGATAAACTGCAGAAAATGAAAAGCAAAGGTTCAAATAGGTTTCATCAAAGCAGATGAGCTAATTTTTAACATTTTTAAAAATGCGTTTTATACATGATTTTCCTAAAGAAAGCTCTCTTCTCATTGATTGGGATAAATAAACTATTTTGATTCATGAACAGCTGAGAGCTTTATACTGAGATGTCTTTTTAGGTATCAGAAGTAAACTGTCACAGACATCTTTTGTGAAAAATCCTTTCCTTAGGATTTTTCCTCCTGAGAAGCTGAGAGGCCTCAGGAACAAAATGTAAACAATGATTATCTGCTGCTGTGGAATGCAACAGGTGCATCTGTGATTGGTCTCATGTGGTTATTTCTAATTAATGGCCAATCACAGTCAGCTGGCCCGGACTCTCTGTCCGAGACAAAAGCTTTTGTTATCATTCCTTCTTTTTCTATTCTTAGCTGGCCTTCTGATTAAATTCTTTTTTCTATTATTTTAGTATAGTTTTATTGTAATATATATAATAAAATAATAAATCAAACCTTCTGAAACATGGAGCCAGATCCTCGTCTCTTCCCTCATCCTAAGACCCCTGTGAACACAGTCACAGTAAACCTGAAAAACATTCTTTCACGTTCTGAATTTTTGCTGGCTTAGCTTACGAGTGATGGGTCTTACTACTTAAATTAATTTTCACTTCTGAGTCATGCTCTATTTACATGAAAAACGGGATTTAATTAAAATGTTTGAAACAGTGTTGCAAAATTACATTTAATTGAATGGATGTGCCTTAGATGTGATGAGTGTTGTAAAGAAGAAGTAAGGATATGTTTGGTCATGTGCTGTGAATTGACAGAGATCAGCATTGCCACTAAATGAAGCAGACTTGCCCTTCTTGCTACTTCCTCTCCTTGCACAAGTGTCTGTGCAGCAGCTGAGTGAGCTGGACCAGGGTAAAACCTAATCTAGCCAAAAAAAGAAGTCAGTTTTAAGTAGACAAGATCAGTGATTCAGTTCATTATGCTGGCAGAGGGGAGGTGGTAATGTGGTAGTTAGGGATGAGTGTTTCGGGCCTGGTGAGAGATTGTTTCTCTTGGCTGCAGCACTGTCTTAAAATGAAGTTGAAAATGTAGTTTCTATGGCATGTGTGCAGAGGCTGGCTTGGGTCCAGCCCACGGAGAGCATGAGCTCAGTGTGAGCACAACTGTCTGTACCTGACCTGAGAAACAGGCCCTAGGTTTATTGAAACCCATTTTGCATTTAAAAACCGACGTACTAACCAAAGGAAATACTAAATATTTTCACTCATTTGACTAATTGTTTCAAAAGCATTTAGGTCTGCTCAAAACCCCATTAAACAGTCAAGTGTCTAAAATCCAAGAAAGTTAAATGCCTGTTGTGCTTAAAAATTTTGAAAATTCCACCACTCCTTTAAAACTGACAATTGTTTCCAAAATCTAGCCCTTGATCTTAATGCTTTTATACTGAGTAGGTCTTCCATTGTCCAACTATTTTAATTCACTATCTGGAAAAAGAAAAGAAACTTTTCTTCTTCCCAGTTCCTAATTGTTTCTAAGTAACATTAATTTCCCCCATCCATGAATTCCCTACACTTGCTCGCTGAACTTGACCCAAATCTAATAAAAAAGTCTTTCTGGATAACAGAATAATCTAATGGGTAAAACTTTTGAATAATGGCATTTGTTGCGCTGTGAAAACTGAAACTAATTTGGATGCTTAAATTATGCAATATGTGGCATTATGATGTAGTTGGAAGGCTTGGGGTGGTCTTAGAGGTACATTTTGTGAAGCTATGACACATTCCCTATAATTCATTGTAGGTCTGAAAAAGAGTCATTGATGCATTTTTTGGTGTTCACATAATATTAATGAAGGAGAATTGGGGCCTTGAAGACTGAGAATTTTAAATCTGTTTTCAAAAAGCTTTATTCGTAAAACAGGCTTTGATATTTAACATAAATCTTTTACCCAAGGACACATAGAGAGTGAGAGGTTTTTTTATTCATTTGTTTCACAACTATTTCTTTTCGGTACAAATAGGAAATGGAAAGAATTTTTAGATATAATGTAGGATTTTAAGATTATTTATAAGCATTCATGAAAGCTTAAGTAACAGCATTGATTTCTAGACATTTCATACCAAAATTATGCTACTTGTATGGAGATAATTTGAGTCCTGTTACTATATCTAATATAGCAAGGTCTTTTAAATAAACATAATTTTTATTATTTTAAAGATAAATTTAGATTTATATTTCAAGATACCCTGCTAGTCTGATTTTATCCACTCAACCTGCACCCCACTGAGTTGTAAACCACTGTTGTTCTCAAAGCTTTACAGACCACTCAAAATCTGTAAGACACCAGAAGAGGATTCATTTGGGGGCTGAAATCTAAACAAAATGCTGAGTAAATCAGCTCAGTTGGTCAGAGCATGGTGCTGATAACACCAAGGTCAAAGGCTCAGTCCCTGTAGGGGCCATTCACTCAAGAGTCGGGTCAGTGATCTCGTGAGTCCCTTCCAACTCAGAATATTCTGTGATTCTGGAAATACTTTTGTAAACCCACACAGGTCTCACATCTGAAGGAGGCTGTGGTCACACCTGGTGAAGAGTGCAGCCACAGACTCAGATCATTTTCTACCTGCTTTCAGAGGCATTTTACACATTTACAGTTGCAGGCCCAAGGATTGCATTGATGTCTTGGCCAGCTGAGTATTTTCCTTGGACATACAGATGCTCAGACTGGAAACTGTGGACAAACACAAGAACAGAGTTGTGTTTACATAGAATCCAATCAGGCTATTACTGTCATGTTAGAAAAAACCACAGCACTGTCCTTGTAGGTTTTGCTTGGGTCCCAAGTTCCCCTGTGCTGTAAGAGGGTGAGTCATCCTTTAGACTGCATTTGGTTACATATAGAAATACTCTTCCAGAAGTCTATGAGAAAAATGTTTTCTGGCTGTTTCACTGAAGTGAGGATTGTAAGAAATCATGGAAGTTCCTGAAGTAGGAATGGTAGAAAACCATACAGCAATTTATGGCCATGGTAGATTCTGTTCTTCCCCTGGGAGCTTTTCATATGAGGTGTTTCATCATCTTCTCCTTCTGTCCATCTGTATTTTAAATGACAGCAATGAGCTCTGAATTTTTCCTGTAGAGCACAAAAGTAGTTGTATACCCTTCTGAAAGACTTCCAGGTTTCAAACCTTGCAGATTGAGGCACCCTGCAGCTTCATGTTGGGCATCCAAGCTGTGGAGAATAGCCTGGCTTGCTGGACAAATCACTGTACCAGTGACTCATTTAAATTATTTAATCTGTCTTTGTGTAGTTTAGAGGTAGAAATGGAAGTGCAGCCAAGGAATTGTGGAATTCAGCAAACTGCAGTCAGATCCTGGTGATGGCCAATATGGAGGGGTAAGGTACGGTACAAATTAAGATTATATTCTTCAAAATGGGTGTCTGACAGAATTTCAAAAGGGACCTCAGCTTCTGTTTGGGATTTTCAACTCTCAGTCCTGCTCCAGGTGGGGCCCTTAGTCAAATCAACCATGTTTGAAGTGAGGTGGCCTGAGTTTGAGAGATGGACAAGGTACCTCTCTTAGGCTGAGGAATATTCTCTTCATTTTGTCAGTAGGAACCTTGTGTTCCTGTATATTTTGGTTCTGCTTGGTAGTGAGAGAAGAGAGTTCATTTTTCTCACATAGAGGAGAGCATCTGTCTAGCTTTAATGTGTGCTTGCCCCCAAAGTGCAAATTGATTTGTTATCTAAATTGCCTTTTTTTTAAACATACATCACCTCCTGAAGAATTGGCTTCTTTACCAGGAACTCCATGGTAAATCTCTTTTCACTTTTTCCTATTGAAGTTTTTCTGCTTTTCATAAATAATTTATTCAAGAGACCAGAGGGATGGCTAATGAGAGATTAACTCAATGCCCAAGGGCTAGGGCATTTCCCTGGGATGTGGTAGAGTCAGGCTGCAAGATCTCACTTCAATTAATATTGCTTCCCACATCACAGCAGAGTGTGCTCACTGCTGGGAAACACATTTGTGTGTAAATCTTCAGCTCTCTTTTGTGTATGCTAGCCAGACACTAGCCTATATATTACATTTAAAAAAAATCCCAAAAAAACCAAACCAAAAAAACAAACCCCAAAACGAAAAAAACCCCC